TCTGCTTACTTGAGAGCTACCATGCTTATGCGTGGTAATGTCAGACAATAGCATTTACAGGCCTCTGTAATTTGGCTGCATTCTGTGGGCTCCCTATCCTACTGCCACACTGGACCATCTGCAGCTCCCGAAAGAGCCCTCCACTTTCCTGCCCCCTGCCTTCACTGTGCTGGTGCCTCAGCCAAAATCCCCCTACCCCATGTCTGCTTGTTAAAGTCCTTCTAGGCTTAGTCTAGATGTTATTGGAAACAGTTCTTAATTCTCCCATCAAGATCTGCTTTCTCTGTACCTCCAAATCCTGGCTTATGCTGGCAGTTTGTTGTACACACTGATGCCTCCACTTTCAATAGACTGGCAGCTCCTTGAGGACAAGGGTGGTGCCCTGCTCATCTCGGGGGACCCGCTGCACCTAGTGCCATCTGTCTCTCAGTAAGTGCTTGCTGCACTGGGTTGTGATTTTTCTGTCTGCCATAAATTTACAATGGCTTTGTGTTTTCTCCTCTGCAGATGTGAATGAATGCCTCTTGAACCCCTGCCCACCCCTGGCCATGTGCAACAATACTCAGGGATCCTTCACCTGCAAATGCCCAGTTGGATACCAGTTGGAAAAAGGAATATGCAATTTGGGTAAGAGAGTTAACCTATTTTGGAGTTTATCCTGCACCACAATATATTTAACAAAATAGCCTTTATTGTTCTTCTCCCTAAACAAAATCAGTATTCACCCAGGGTATAAACTTAAGAAATACAGAAAGAATTAGAAGGTATTGTCTATTGTTCAACTACTCAAAGATGTAGGACCTTTTCTGCAATCTTTTTTAGTGTGCATTTTGTTTTTATATAGTTGAAATCATGTGGTATTTGTAAAACTTCATCTTAAACATTTTCCCATGTTATTAAAAATATACAAACTTCTTAATGACTGCATAAATATGCCATCATTTGTGCCTAAGATTATTTGCTTAATCATTCTGCCCTGCAGTTAGGAAAAAAACATATATCAAAAGGAATTCTAACCACACAGGTTAAAAAGAACTAGAGAAAAGAGACTAAATGCCTAATTATCCTACCACATCCACACATTCTTTTCCTTTTTAAAAACAATCTTCATGTTCTTGTCCACAGGCAGATACATTTTTATAAAGCTGTTACTGTAATTATACCGTACAATTCGTCCTATTTTGCTCCCTAATTTGGTAGATTTTTGAAGCTGGTTGATTTTAGATATTATCTCCATTTTACAGGTTAAAAAGCAAACAACCCAAATGAAAACTAAGGTCTTCACAAGATGCTAAGTGGCCACATTCATACAACTGCTTGATGAGAGGCCGCATTTCCAATCCCCAGTTCCTTCTGTCACAGAATAATGTGTTAATCATAGGAGCACTCCTACACATAGGATATAGCCCTACGGTAGAGCGCCAAGTTCAATACATAACTCACCAAAATTAGAAGTGAAGAACATAGAGTTATCTAAGCTGATTGAGGAAACTGGCAGGTAAAGTGAATCATCTTAAATTGGCCAGTGTGATCTTAGCACACAAGAAGTGCTCAGGAAATATTTTTTTGAGAGGACAGGTGTCTGTGTCCTTTCAAAGTGTTATTTGCATGAATTCTTATTGCCCATAGGCTGAGGTAAATCATCAGACTTAAGAAAGTTGTATCGAATGACAAAACTCAAACAATTTGGTAACAAGCTTGATGTCCTTTATTCAAAGGAAAGCTGAGCATGGATGGGGGCGCAGAGCGCCCCACAAGCAGTGGAGCACTCTTCCTGGGGACCTTGGGCAGTGTTACAGAGAGTTTCCAGAGCATTAGAAGCAGCAACACAGACACAGGAGGGCATAGTTGCCTATCTGACCTGATTTGGAAAGCTCAAGGAATAAGGAAATACGTAGAGGGCCCAGTGCTGGCTTGGCGGTTGGGAATTGGCTGACTGGATATACTGTGTGCCTGGGCAAGGGGAGTATTTACAGGAAAACAAAAGTTTGGTTTGCTGATGTGGCACTCCTGGCAGGAACAGCTCCATGCTGGGCCTAGATGATTATTTCAACAGTTGGTAGCCTACTAAAATAATGGTAGAATTTTTTTATTTTTATTTTTTGGTATCATTAATATACAATCACATGAGCAACATTGTGGTTACTAGATTCCCCCCATTCTCAAGTCCCCACCACATACCCCATTACAGTCACTGTCCATCAGCATAGTAAGATGCTATAGAATCACTACTTGTCTTCTCTGTGCTATACTGCCCTCCCTGTGCCCCTGCTACGTTATGTGTGCCAATCATAATGCCCCTTATTCCCCTTATCCCTCCCTTCCCACTTGTCCACCCAATCCCTTTCCCTTTGGCAACTGTTAGTCCATTCTTGGGTTCTGTGATTCTGCTGCTGTTTTGTTCTTTCAGTTTTTGCTTTGTTCTTATACTCCACAGATGAGTGAAATCATTTGGTACTTGTCTTTCTCTGCCTGGCTTATTTCACTGAGCATAATACCCTCTAGCTCCATCCATGTTGTTGCAAATGGTAGGATTTGTTTTCTTCTTATGGCTGAATAATATTCCATTGTGTATATGTACCACATCTTCTTTATCCATTCATCTAATGATGGACACTTAGGTTGCTTCCATTTCTTGGCTATTGTAAATAGTGCTGCGATAAACATAGGGGTGCATCTGTCTTTTTCAAACTGGGCTGCTGCATTCTTAGGGTAAATTCCTAGAAGTGGAATTCCTGGGTCAAATGGTATTTCTATTTTGAGCTTTTTGAGGAACCTCCATACTGCTTTCCACAATGGTTGAACTAATTTACATTCCCACCAGCAGTGTAGGAGGGTTCCCCTTTCTCCACATCCTCACCAACATTTGTTGTTGTTTGTGTTTTGGGTGGTAGCCATCCTAACTGGTGTGAGGTGATATCTCATTGTGGTTTTAATTTGCATTTCTCTGACGATTAGTGATGTGGAGCATCTTTTCATGTGCCTGTTGGAATAATGGTAGAATTTTGAAAATTGTTTAAAATACAAGGATCAAATAAAAGTATTATTTAAAGAAAGAAAATCCAGGAATATAGACATCTATCAAAATCAAGAATTCCTCTTATCCTAACAGTTTATTCACATTAGCTACACCTGTAGAAAATAAGCCAGCAGTTGTCAATTTAAGAATGGAGGAGACAGAAGTGATTTCATTTTGAAGCAGTGAGTTAAGTACACAAGTTAGGGAACTCGAAAGCCTGGCTTCTAGCTCCAGGGACACCACCTATGGCACATGACCCCTGAGCCTCAGTTTGCTTATCTGTATGATCAGATTGCCCCCTGCTCTGCTTCCCACTCAGGGTTATTGTGACAATCAAATAAAATAGTGCATCTGAGCAAGCTCTGAAAGTGGCAGAGTTCTCCAGATGGGAAATCTCATTTGACATTGGTCTCCAACCTCTTGTACCAGAATTGTAAGCAACAAAAACAGTAAACTACTCTGAATACAGAGTAATAGTTATGGATCTTCTTTTAAAAAAAATCATTTAGATGACCTATGTAAAGCAGTCCACACTGGAAGTAAAAAGTTGCCTTAGAGTCAGGTGATGTAACTGCAGATGTGCAGATGTTAATAAGGGTGCAGGGACTGGGGGACACCGTGAGAAGCTATGTTCATGTTCACACTGAAAGTAGAGGCCACATCTTCTGTCAGGGCTCAGAAGAGATCTGCATGCTTCACGTTTGCAACATGTACTTACCTGTACAGAGAATCAAGGTGTGAGCCTGGGCCCATGAGATGAGAAAATGGAGGAGCGGGCTGGACGCTCTGGAAGCGTGTGTGCAGAGTGTCCCACAGGCACAACTCTTGGGCAGGAGAGCGGTTCTGTTGTGTTCATAATCATCTTTCCCTTTTCAAGTCATTTAACTTCATTGTTCATAAACATTAGCAGAACATGCAAATTAGAGCATGCTGAAAGGCTTTCATTTGGCCAAGAATGTTTTCAAAGAGCTCCCTGCTGCTCAGAAAGAGTCCTAAGCAGCTGGCTTCACTGAACTGTAGAAGAAGCAAAAAGATGTTAAATAAGGATTAAGGGCTTTAGACAGTAAGTATAAGATGTTAAATGTTTTCCCTGGCTCATCTTGGGCCTTCTCCTTAATTCAGCAGACAAACCTTCTGTGAAAGAGCAGTTTCATGGATTTCTGTGTCTTGGGTTATATTTTTCCAGTCCAGAGGGGAAAGATAAGAATTTATTAGAAAGGAAGATAAGGGCCGGATATAAAGTAGGCTATTCTAATTTTTGGTTGCCTGCCTGTTTGTAAGTTTCATTCCCCTCAGGCGCAATCAGCACAAATTGATGTTGACTACAATTTTATGAGTGAAATAGGCCTTGAAGTTGGGGCTACTTTCTTTCACATCTGAACCCAGCAATATTTTGAATATGGGCCATTGTCATTATGTGGCTTATAATCATGGAATCTGGCAGAGTGTGGGCCCACTGCAGACGTTTGGTGCCTTCTTCTGTAGCCGCTGGGTTGTCCTTAGAGTATCAGATTCCTCAGGGCGCTGAGGGCAGAAGCACCCGTGACAATCTTAAATGTTAAATTTGCTCTTGGGAGCTGGATGACCTTGGGAAGTTACCTGACTTCTAGAAGCCCTTTTATCAGTGATGAAACAGGCATTTGCTGGAGCACGAGGAATGGGGGCTGGTGGGGGTCAGTGATAAGAAGAGGAAACCCAAGCACATCCTTGAAGCTGAGGACTTAACAACTTGGCCAAAGACCTAGCGAGCAAGGAGCTTTCCTCTGTCTGAAGCTGCATGGGATGGGGCCTAACGAGCATTTTTTTTTTTTTTTGAGAGGGCATCTCTCATATTTATTGATCAAATGGTTGTTAACAGTTAACAACAGTAAAATTCTGTACAGGGGACTCAATGCACAATCATTAATCCACCCCAAGCCTAGTTCTCATCAGTCTCTGATCTTCTGAAGCACAATGAACAAGTTCTTACATGGTGAACAAATTCTTACATAGTGAATAAGTTCTTACATGGTGAACAGTACAAGGGCAGTCGTCACAGAAACTTTTGGTTTTGATCACGCATTATGAACTATAAACAATCAGGTCAAATATGAATATTCTAACGAGCATTTTTTATGCCTAGCCCCACATCTCCCTCTTCTCCTCCCTGGACTATGTTACTTAGGCCAGCTATCTTTCTCCCTTGTCATAGCTTTATTGAGAATCTATTATGTAGGAGGCCATTAGAAAGATGTGAAGAAGGCTTCTTGGAGCCTCTCACCCAAAGGTTTCCTCCAGTCTGAGCCTTCAGCTCAGTTCAGTAGCTGCTCACTTTCCTAGAGAGGAACCTAAAAGAGGGAGAGGTGGTCTCCACCCTCCAGAAGTGCTCTGAGATTGTCCTGCGAGGTGGAGCAAATCGGATTGCGCTGGAGATTTGCAGGTACACAGCCTTGCATCTGTCGACCTCAACCTTGTGTAAGTTCTGTGGTCTAACAGGATATGTTTTCATTTTCAGTTAGAACCTTCGTGACAGAGTTTAAATTAAAGAAAACATTTCTTAACACCACTGTGGAAAAACATTCAGACCTACACGAAGTTGAAAATGAGATCACCAAAACAGTAAGTTTCCTGAAAGGCATCTTCCTTCCAGTCCTTCCGACTTCATGTAGAATTGGGAAACTCCTGGGGATCAACAGTATCTCTTAGGCTGTGCATCTCATTATATTTGGAAGTGAAGCTTCATGGTAAAATAAAAGGCTCTTGGAAATAGAAGAGAGGAGCTGGAAACTAGTGGCACCCAGTAGAAGTGTTCCTTTGGTGTGTCCTCCTGTGCAGCCTTGATCAGCGCCTCGTGGGTTCTTGTCCATGTGCAGACTCTTAGTCACAGACGTTTAGATGACATGTACCAGGAAGAGCTGTTTGGGTAGAATAAAGACCCAGAAAATCCTCCTATCCCACCTGCTATTGACATGCTGTGCCACTGGTTTGTCTGTGTTTTGGAACTTGGGGAGAAAGATGCTCTTTTCCTCAAGGGAATGCCAGAGGCCTAACAGTTAATCCTGACCATCCAGGGCTGAGGATTCACTACATAGATTGATTATCTAGGAGCATTTGTTTGTCTCTCTCTCTTTGTCAAAAAACAAAGAAAGAAAGAAAGAAAGAAAGAAAAGTGGAGAGAAAAGAAGAGAAGAAAATGAAGCTCAGAGAGTAAATTTTGCCTCTCAATTGTTATCTGAGTCTAAGATTTAGTGTTCAGAAAATTGAAGTTTGCCATTAAAATAAGTTATAGAGATTAATTGATTTCTGATTTCAGTTTTACTTGTTTCATGTGATTAAGAGTTAACATATTAGCCAAAATGTATAGGATTTTCTAGGAAGATGGATTTTATTTATGTAAACTTTAGATTCCAATTCCATTTCTGTATCTACTGAGCATCTACTATGACAGGCACTTTCCCAGATGCCTCTCCTATAAGAGGTATTGCCAACACATACAGCTGTATAATTGGGAAGTTAATGACACTGAGTTCACACAGTGCAGGTGCAGAGTTAGGGAACAATCCACTAGATCACCCTTACTTCTGACATCAGTTGCAAGTTTGGGGTTCTCCAAGACCATCCTCAGATTTGATGATTTTCGAGAAGGACTCACAGATATTGCTGAAAACTGTTACACTCAGTTATGGTTTATTACAGTGAAAATATCCAGGTTATAGTCAGCCAAGGGAAGAGATGCATTGGGCAGAGTTCAGGACAATTCCAGATTTGGTGTTTCCAGTTATCCTTTCTCTGTGGAGTCACAGACAGTGCTAACTCCTCTGGGCAATGATGCGTATAATTTTCATAGAGTGTTGTCAACCCAGGAAGCTCACTGAGTCGTGGTATCTATAGCCACCATGCGGTTGTGGTAAACTGCTCATATTGCTGACCTCAGTCTCCAGCCCCTCTGGAGGTCAAGCTGATGCCATGTAACCCAGAGCCCCCACCACAAAGCACATTGTTAGACTATCTGGAGTGACCCAGTGCCTCCAGGTAAACAAAGGCAGGACATTCTAAAGGCTTAGGAGATTACCTTCCAGGATCCCTAGCCAGACCTCCTTTTGTGCAAGGTTAAATTCTTCATACAGAGTGTTTTTTGTCCAGTAACCCCATATCTGGTGTTCTTGTCTCTGCACCACAGCTCTCTCTCAGTTGTGCTGTTGATCAATGCTTCCTTCTAAGGAAGTAGAGTGGCTCAGAACCCCATGTAGACGTGTGCTCCTTTCCCGTGCCCAGTGACTTACCTGACTTGTTTGTTTTCACTCAGAACTAATGTATAATTTATTAGTGATGTGACATCTCCCCTACCCCTAGAAGTAGGCAATAACTACAGAAGCCATTCAAGTGGCTTTTCCCATGATTCTGTTCTGAAATGTGCCATTTCTGTTTTTACCTGGGGAAAAAGTCTTTTTTATTTAAAATATTTTGTTTTTTTAAGTATATTATTATACTAATAATAAATCATTGCCTATCAAGCAGTGTCATACAAAGCCACAGAGGGTTTGATAACATCCCATGTGTGAATATAGCTTCTGAAAAGTGAGATATGTCTGCCACACAGGGTTTGAAAACTGGTGTGTCTGCATTGGTCAAGGTATTGAGACCCTCTGCTGCATAAGTGAGTCCCCAGCCCCTCCTGTGGAGAGCAGTGGGGAAGCAGACATGGTACTTTATGCCCTAGAGGGATTTTCTGCTGTCTCCAAGGGCACAAGGCAAGCACTGGGAGAGTCGCTCTTAATTTGCTCTCAACAAAAGGGCTCTTGATCCACGTAATGTAATTTCCCATGGAGAGCCTTTTTGAAGAGGACCTATCTTTGAGTTAGGTCACCTCCTTGTAGATTATCAGGGGGCTGTGTAGGGCCTGCCAGGCTTGGGTTAGCTGAAAGGAACCCAGCCTTTTCAAGGAGGCTCGCTCACTGTGCAAAGTCCAAATAAACAGTTGCCTCTGAGTTTTTTGAAACCCTGGGTCTTAGAAGAGAGCTGCTCCTTTGAAGATGTTTTGCATCCAAGGGTGCTGTTCTGAAAATCATTTCCTGCCAAGATTTTCCCCACTGATTTACTCTCTGCCTCTCTCCCTTTGTACTCATGGAACAACAGAATAAGAGCAGAAAGGCATTCAAGAAGGGGACAAAGAAAGGACACCACTCCTCTGGAAAGTCGCCTGCTGATAACTTGATGGCTGGAAAATGCCTTTTATCCTGAAAATGTAAAATTGTTTCTAGGTCTAAGGCTTTTGTCTAACTCCCAGTTAACAACAAACCTGTTCTTCCTTTCAGTTAAATATGTGTTTTTCAATGTTACCTGGTTATACCCGATCTGCAGTTCAAGTGTCTAGGTGAGTAACTTGCCTGTGAACCAGTCTGTAGGAAAGGGGAGGACACTTTAATGTGGGTGACAGCAGCTGACCTGGGCCTGTTTTGACCAAGCCACAGGGTGACCCAGGGCCAAGGTCACTGACCTTCATGTCCTCCCATTCCCTCACTGGAGAATGGAGATGGCACTCATTTTTCAAAAGCCCTGGGGTCCACATGTCATCACTGGACAGTTAAAAACCTCCACACTTTGCCCGTAGGGAGTCTAGCACGGTGGTCCTGTCACTGCAAACCACTTTTTCCTTGGCTTCCAACGTGACACTGTTTGACCTGGCTGACGGGATACAGAAATGTGTCAACTCCTGCAGGTCCTCTGCTGAGGTCTGCCAGCTCTTGGGATCTCAGAGGCGGATCTTTAGAGGTAAGAGAATGGCCTCTGGGAGGACCCTGCTTACGCAGTTAGGTACAGACCTTGGATGGAAATGTAAGGCATTTGGGGCTCAGGTCCAGAAAGGCTCACCTCAGAGCTAGACTATCTTGGAAATGGGTGTTATCCCAAAGTCCTTCCTGTGTGTGCACCTGTGTGTGTGTGTGTGTGTGCTCACACACAGCCTTGAAGTCACCTGGTCCTTGGCATGTGGCCCCTTCTTCTTCTATACATCCTTGGTATAGGAAGGGGTACAGGAGCTGTAAGGAAGCAGAAATCACTCCTCTTCCCTTTGAGAAGTTCCTGCTCTCTCTGGGGAGACAGAATGTCACACACACACAGTGTACATACTTATCAATAGCCCAGACCTTCATGGTGATACACTGTCAAGTGAAAGAGCATATGCAGTGTTACCTGTCTTTGTTCGCTGTTTGCAAATTATCAGTGCACAGAAGCAAGACCAGAATGATGTAGGTCACACTGCTCGGGGTACCGTTCTCGATTTCCCTTTTTGTGCTCTTGCTTTATCTGTCTTGTCACAAGCGTCTACCATGTGTCTAGTGTGAAGCAGATGAAAAAGGGATTGGAAACTACAAGTTGAGCAGGCAAAGCTGGGTCTTGGAAGGGAGTACCATGTCTAGAATGGGAAAACTTTGCTGGAATCAAAAGTGCTTCCTTGCACAGGGGGCTGATCCCTGCGCTGTCTCATAAGTGATCAAAGTGGGCTCTGGCTAGCTCATTTCATGATGGAGTCAGGACTCACACAAGAGGTAGAATCACATGAACCTCCCCATCTGGGGTCCAGATGCTGGACGTAAGCTTTAGGTCACAGGTTTGGTGCTCTATCTGCTGGCAGATGCAGGACAGTCCCGGGGGCGCAGGGCTTTGTGTGTGCTGGTCCAGAGGGCTCTCCCCGTGGGCCTCTGTGCTGCAGGCTGGGAGCCAGCAGTTAACCTTTCACTCTGGGATGAATGCTGCAACTTTGAAGCGTTTCAGGGCTAGGGGTCCACTTAAAAAAAAACAAAAAACAAGAGCTAAACTTTCTGGAATTGAAGTTGCTATTATTCAGCATCAATGGGAAATTAGCTAAAAAGTTATTGCCCGTTATACTGTGCTCCAAACTTTGAGGCAAGAGCTCCTTGGTTTTACTTTGTTTCCCTTGTCAGTGATTCAAGGGAATTTTTTCCTCCCCAGTGAGTAGGAGAGGGACCTTTCAATTCCCTAAATACTTAGGGAGTGTGTGTCCTATGCGGTCAGTGTCGTACAGGTTACTTTCCTATCCCCACTAAATACATGTCATGCCCTGCATATCAAAGGGCCAGGTATTTGGATTTGTGAGATCCTGTTCATAGCAGCCTGGCCAACACTCTGGCCCCCATTCTTCCAACTACTTGGTTGTGGCTTATGGGCAAGCTCCTGTCTTCCTTGCTTCCTTGCTTGAAGTCCCATTCTTTTTTTAAAAAGACTTTATTTGTTTTAGAGCAGTGTTAGGTTTACAGCAAAACCGAGAGGAAGGTACAGAGATTTTTGCATTCACCCCTGTCCCTGCACCTGCTGGTCCCCATTCATTGACTCTCCTTTCAAAGCTCTCAGAACAGACAGCCATGCCTCCCGGCTGAAAACAGACTCATAGCTCTGGTTTTCTCCCACGTCTTCCCCAGGTTTTGCCAGCACACCCAGCTTGGTCTGCCCCTCACCTTTTTGCATGCTAAAGAGTCAGGCTTGATGAGCTGGAGCTGATATCTGGATGTTTCCAACACGTGGGCAGCATGGGGCTACTCTGGACACTGCTATTAAAAAGTCAGGTTCTCACCCTGCAATTCACAAAATATCTTCTTCTTGCCTTTCAAAGAACTGCAGGTTTTATGTGTCCAGAACTTTAGAATCTTTGGAACTGCCTCAGGGAGTGCCTCAGCCTTAGATTTACAGAAGTTCTCATTGTCCTTCGGGCGGATGTTATGCCCAGGAAAGACCATGGGAATCATGGATGCAGAAAAATCCCATGGCCCGGCTTAAAGTGAAAATGGGGTTATATGTGGTTGCATTTGGTGGATTTATGACAGCATGTTCATTAAGAATTTTCAGGATAGCAACTCCTCTGTGGCAGAGGCTGGGCCAGCTTTCCTTGCCTCCATGGGGATCTGCTGCTGTGCTGGGAACGGTCACTTCGGCAGGGCGAGTAGTCTTTGCCGGCAGGCTGGATTAATGGGCAGGGTGGGAGGAAATGTGACATTGGCTCCTAGAAAATATCTAATCAGGCCAGATGACTCAGGCTGGCCACTGGACAAGGCTAGGGCCAGCCTGGGCAGCCCTTTTCCCTGGAGGTATTTCTTTATTTAAAACTGGAGGACTGGCAGAGCCTTCCAAATGTTTAGATGAGGTTTCGTACCTCCTGGTGCCAGCTTTGCAGTGTTCCCCTGGTGAGATTTTCCATTTTTTATTTTTCTCCTGCAAATACAAACGTTTCACAATAAACAAAGGAAACTCTATCACATACACAAATAGGGTTCTGATTTAGCATGCCAGCTTCCACTGATAAAGACAGGAAATGCAGTATTGAGAACTAAAGTTGTGTCCTAAACTTACCTCCCTGTGGCCAGGCCATCCATTAGGCCCCAGGCTCTCAGGACTCAGAAGAGGGTATCAGGGTACCTGATAACTCTCTGGGTATTGGCCTCCTTCACCAGAGCCTGCCTGGAAGGGGGCAGCTTTGCTGTGTAGGGAGCTGGTACCTGGTTTCTGAAATGGGTGGTGTCTTCCTTAAGATGGGAGAGGAGAGACTGTGCCTATGTGCTCAATACTATGTGCTGCCCTCCCATGGTTCCCTCCCCACCCTGAGCTCGCTCTCACCTCCCAACAGCAGTAATGTCAGTCTTACCTTGCCTTGTACCTGGGCGTAAATAGATATTATTCACCATCCAGTTGGCTATAAGTTTTTGTTCTACTGTTTGTGTACCCCATTTCCATGTATCCTTCTGTGGTGCTTTCTAGATGGTAAAATGTCCCCTCATTGTATCTGCCATGTACAGCCTCAGAGAGGGCCATATGCCCAACAATAAATGCTTTTTCATAATATAAAATGATTCCTTGTCATCCCTGAAATAAACGTGGCTCACATGCCCAGGGCTAGACCCAGCAGGTAGGTACACATGCCCAAAATAAGGCCCTAAGGTGAGGAGGCAGCAAGCCTGAAAGCTGCACTTCCTTCTGCCCTCCTGTCTCCCTTGGCAATGGCTGGTGACTGACAGCCTGACAGCACCGTCAGCACGTATGTATTGAGCACTGCGTGGGGACCAGTCTCTGTGAGAGGTGCAAAAACCCAGAAACAAATAAGCCCCAAGGAGCCATCCATGTGGTGGGGAGACAGACAGGTAATGTGATTACACGGAGCCCAGCAGGGGCAGGTGGCCTTCCACAGCTCCCCTCAGAAAAAGCCTGTCAGGCAGCAAACTACCTGGGCACAGGAGCGTGCTGCGTCCCTTCAGGCCAACCAGACATGTCCCTCGGCTTCCTGAGAAGAGCACGGTCGCGTTTCCTGGGTTTGGGCTGATTCCGCCCCATGACTCGACAGCGTGAAGGTACAAAAGACAGCATGCCAGCAAGGGCTGTTGGCGGCGGACACTGGAGCTGGGGACAGCACCCTGTTTCTCCCCAGTCTAGTTTCTCCATCCCGTATCGTGCTGTGTAAACATGTAGTGGATAGGCCTGGGGGCTGACACAAAGGAGGGGCAGAAGGGAGCCTCCGAAAGCAGGGGTGCACATGCAGATGTTTTCGCAAACTGTTTTTAAAGTCTCTTTAAATAGACAGTTCATGCATCTCAAGGTTTGAACTGGAGAAGGCTTTGTTTTGTTTCACCGTCTTGCTTTGCCATTCCAGCGGGCAGCTTGTGTAAGCGGAAGACTCCAGAATGTGACAAAGAAACGTCCATCTGCACTGACCTGGACGGCGTGGCTCTGTGCCAGTGCAAGTCAGGCTACTTTCAGTTCAACAAGATGGATCACTCCTGCCGAGGTACTGGCATGTTCTCCGGCTTCTGCAGCCCGACCCAGGCCTGGCCTTTGTCTGCCCAGGGCCCTCTCTCTGTCCTCCGTGTGACTGCTCTAAACTGGGGCTCACCAGTTCTTGTTCCTTTGCTCTTAGCGAGATTGAATGCATTGTCTCCCTGGACTAACAGCCTATCTCTGTGCACACTGATCTAGCCCATCAAATTCAAAGGAGGAGTAAAGAGGATGGAATGCCTGTGGCAGCATTGCTTCTCTCTCTCTCTCTCTCTTTCTCTCTCTCTCTCTCTTTTTTCTTAGAGGAAGTTAGAAAACTTACTGTTCTAATTTCCAAAGCTTTTTTCTATTGTCTGCTAATTTTTTAAAGTGGAAATGCAAGCATGGGGTCAGGTCTGTAGCTTGTAGCTGCAGCTGCGGCTCAGTTGACAAGGTACTGATGAGCCTCAGGAGATGTAGTCGGAGGCTGACTCCCTGATTGTGTGCCATCCCTTTGCTTTGCTGAGCCTTGGCTTCCTCTCCTGTGAAATGGGTGTAGTGGTGCTTCCTTGGATAGTCTCAGAATTAAAGAAGTCAGTGTATGTGGAGGTGTGTTGTAAGCTATCAGCATTTGCTCTTGTGTCTTACCCAGGGTGTTGTTGAATTTATGAGTTCTAGTTTTAAAGATTTCATGAAGGGTTTGAGGGCAGAAACCAAATTCTGCAAACCTTTTAGATGAAGCTTATATTCATTCAGTGTGAGGTAAAGACTGCTCAAAAAGAAAATTCACGTCTAGAGCACTGTGCACTCTGACTTCTAGAAGACGGCTGCAAATTGTAATCACCAAAAAACTAGCAATATAAAAGCCAGAATGTAGCTTTAAGCTTTGCATCACATTAAGATGTGCATGGCACCATTTTGCTGCTCAGGCCACACCTACTGGTGACAGATATACTGGGATCTGAGTAAAAATCATGTATGGGGGAATGGTGAAATGTCACTTAGTCAGGATTTCCCATTTGAGGACACGTTCCATCAGGAGAGGACACAATCACATTTCATGACAGTGCTCTTATCCTGAGCTTCAGACCCTCTCCCTTAGGTTTATATATGATGGGCTTTGAAAGTATGAGCCCTCAGCTCAGCCCACAGGCCTGGCAGTAGGTTTTGAAGAGAGGGCCAGCCTTCTGTTGACCAGCAGTACTGATGCATGGCTGTCTCAGCGTTTCTAAGCGTGTGTGTCCATCTGCCACTTTGATACAAAGAGATGAAGCTTTCTAATTCCGTCTTGTCTGGTTTCATGCAAAGTGTTCCCTGGAAACTGGGGTATTGAGCCTCTCTTCATGTGGAGGGTGACCTCTGCTAAAATCCAGGTCCTGGGGTGCTATGCAGCTAGCAGGTGGAAAGGGAAGGTGTGCAGAAGGACAGGTACAGAGGGGTGGTGGCCCCAGTCCACAGTGCCTCCAGAGTGTCTGACAACCTTAAAAACAGCCCTACAACCTTTGCCTCCAGTTGGCCCTAGCCACAGGCCTCTGTGTCCAAGTCAGTGATTTCATAATGGTGCTGCTTACAGACTAGCAAAAGCAGAGCCGTCAATGATTTTCCAAATGCAGTGATACAGACACCAGCAACCTTATGTCTGTCAAGTAATGATCCAAGCAACAGCATAAGAAAACCTTGGTTAGCCCTTGGACTTGTTGCCAAGACTCCACAAACCTTCATTTCTGCAATATATTGTTTAGGTTTTCATCTGTGGCCATCAGGCCTCTGATGAATGGATTCCAGAGCTCCTGGGGCCACAGCCCTGTTGGCTAGGTTCTGACAGGTTAGCAGTGACATCTTCTGGCCATTTGTGCTGGTGCATGGGGGTATTTAAAATGAGTCCCTTTTGGACACCTCAAATCCAGGGTCATTTCCCAGTATAAATGGAGAATAGAGATAAGTGGGTGTGTGTTTTCTGTGTCTGTACTATTTACAGCTATACATTAGCAAGTCTGTTTGTTGTTTAGACACACACACACACACACACACACACAGTGTTTCACATAAAATACCTTTATGCTGTCTTTACCAGACTTTCAAAGCATCATATAAAATTAAAGTAGGTGTCCTTCCCGTATGTGTCTTAGCTTCCTTCCCCATGCAGGCGTCATGATGAATTCCAACTCTCTGCTTGCAGGTTTCTTTCTCGCACTAGACTGCATGTGCCATGAGAGCCAGACCTGTGTCTAGAATATACTCAACATTGTGGGTTTAACAAATGTGCTCCCCTGAATAAACAAAGGATAATAGTGCAGCAAATACGATAGGACAAGATTGGCGGGTCTTGATTTCATTTCCTGCAAGGGAACAAGAGTTCTGAAGACTCCACCACTTACTCTGTTAAAAAGGCCAGAGCAGGAATGTGCTTGTGTTGCACGTGGATAGCGGAAGCCCAGTTTGGGAGTGTGTGCGTGCTAGCTGTTGCCACGTTCACTTCATCCTCAGTGCTCCGTGGGTCCGTCAGTCCCTCTTGGGCCTGGAGAGGAGGAGCTGGCTTCTAAGGGGCAGTGAAGTGTCTTATGACCTCCCAGAGCTGCTAGAATAGCACCAGGCGCACAACAGCACTCAGCCTAAGTGAGCCCATTTGAAATAAAGAAATATCATCATATCAGGGAGTCAGGCCACTTCCTAAGCTGTGACAACACCCCAACCCCTCAGCTTGCAGGCAGGACAACAGATGGACATTATGTCTGGCTGGATGACAGCCACAGGGTGGAAGGCTCCCAACCAGCAGATGAGGGTGGAGTGGGTAGCTTTGATGTAAAAACATTTCCAGGAAGAAGCACTCAGAAAAGAAGACTGGTGCGACATCAGCCTGCCTCGGGGCTGAGATGGGTGGGGATGAGTCACTGGGGATGCCAGCAGCCCCTGTGTAGCTGCCCTCCATCCCCAAATGGGGTATGATTATGCAATACCGTGTTGCAAAAAGGATTTGAAGAACCATGTAACAAAATGAGATTTAATTTGAAAGGTAAATCAGGTTGAAGGGGAAATAAACTCAGTACTTTGTTGAAGCTAGAAGGAAAATGAATACACAGAAAGATATACCATTAGGTCCCGCATGTTTGCTAAAGCTAGGCTACTTAGTCATGTTCTGAGCTTCCTAGCACTGAGGCAAAGTGAGAAATATGGTTTGCAAAGAGTCAGGGTCTATAAAATAAAGTATAGTTGTTCCAGAGCATCCCCATCTTTCTAGGCCCTCAGGCCCAAGGGAAATTTCTCTGGGGCATCCTCCTTAAGAGGTTGTTGAGTGGTATTGTGGCAGAGTGGTCCATGACATCCTGCAGTAAACACTCTTGGGGACTTTCCCCATGGCTGCTGCTTATAATAGCCCTCAATACAGGAGAACTTAGCTCAGGAAATGCCATTCCGTGGAGCCGAAACAGTACTGTTCAGGTTCACTGCTCTAATGATCCACTGTAGGAGAATTACAGATTATTTAGAATAGTGTTTTCCAAACCATTCCACAGAAGATAGTCTGTGATAACAAAATAGATGCAAGAATTATTTAGCATCTAACATTAAAAAATAGAAGGAAAAATGTTATCAAGTACATCTACATAGTTACTATTATGCATAAAACCATACAGGGGATTCGGGAAGTCTCTGAGATCTGTCCCAGCCCACAGTGTGTACACCTGTCTAAGACAGGCATGCTGCTGGCATTCACATCTTGCCATTAGCATGTGTGCTATCTGTTCAGGGATTGCTGCTATGTACCTTTCTTATCTGTGATCTTTAATGCAGTGTATTTATTATACATTAATCCTGAATCAAGTTTCTATCATTTCCTACAGCAGTGAATTTGTCTGTGAGGCCATTTTTTATTGTCTGTTTGCATCCAAGCATGCATCAGAACTCATGGTGTTCTGTCAGATTACTGTAGAGTCAAAAGTGTTCTGTGATCAAATAAATTCAGGAACTGCTGATCCCAGGGAATGTCTGGGCCCTGGCCCTGCAGTGAAGCAGTGGTCTGTGAGCAGCACCGCCAGAGAGTTCAAAGTCCTGTTCTTGGGTGATGTGCTGATTAGGGCTTATCTAGAGGTGTCCACAATCCCTTGCACAGTCTTATCGGCTGAGCATTCTCTTATGAAAACTGAGGCGCCCACCAGGACTGTGGCCCCAAGGATGTCACAACTCCCACTTCCTCATGGAAGGTGGCTACCAGCACATCAAAGGTTTGACTTACATTAAAGAAGGTGGAGCATTTGTTTCTGTGTATATGGAAGTTCTCTGTTATACAGGGGCCATAGAGAATTACAAGAAGAATTGCATTTGTTGGATAATAATTACAACTACAAACATCTATTTGGTGGCTACCATGTGCCAAGTGCTGTGCTAAACCATTTGCATGCCTTGTTTTATTTATCCCTCCAAGAAACTATATGGTAGATATTACTATTATTATTACTACTACTATTATTATTGTTTTCTTTTTATAAATGGGAAGCTGAAAGCCACTAAGAAGTTAAGAAAAAATTTTTTATAAAATTAAGACAAGCTGGCAGCAGTATATAGGCCAGGTTATAGATCATTCTAAAGCTATTGGTAGCTTTCTAGTTCTAGAATATTCTTTGGAACTTTTAGGGCAACTGGCATTTAATAACTCAGTTTGGGCCAGGGGAGGTCAATAGACACATTCATGGATTTTCCTTTTCTCTTCCAGCATGTGAAGACGGATATAGGCTTGAAAATGAAACTTGTATGAGGTAGGCTCCGGGTTCATTTATTCTGAAAAATTTTGTTACAAATCTATTTAGAAGTTACTTAGTATTGCTAAGTAATTTAGAAGTTATTTAAATTACTAGTTATTCATTTTGATATTTGAAGCTAATGCTTGCTCTTTCTCTTGATTGACTTGCAGTTGTCCGTTTGGCCTCGGAGGTCTCAACTGCGGAAACCGTGAGTACACGGGTCTCGAGTTCCCTGGGCCGGGGGTGCAGCATGTCTGTCTCCTCAGCTCCTGTGCTAGGAAGTATGGGGGAAGGAAAGAGTGCCCTCCAGGGCGCTGGTCTGGCAGAGGAGGTAAACACATTCCTAAGCAGCCCTGACTGGGGAGTGTTAATACAATAAATTAGGTGGAAGGCGTGAGGCAGGGAGGGAGGGGCCGTGCTCTGGGGGTTTGTGGTGGCCAGCCTGAGAGTTTAGACTCTAATCAGTAACCAGTGGGGAACTAGCAAGTCTTAGAGCAGGAAAGCAGTTTGATCAAGAAAATCTGGTCTGCCTGCAGGGAGGACAGATTGGACAGAGGAGGACATGGGAAGTTTAGAGGCCTCTAGGACAGTCACGGCGGGGGCGCAGGGCTAGAGACAGAGTCAGGAGGCATCTGCTCCATGCTGATGTCACGCTCCCCAAACTACAGAGGACAGAATGGCGGTGACTCTGTGCAGGGTGTGTTTAACATCCAGTTCAGTTCTTTTGAGAAAACCAGTTGTGATCCATGTAAGTTCACTTTCACTGACATTTTCTTACTTTGAGATCTAAGAAATTGAAATCACCCTCAAAATTATTGAAAGACATCTTGGGATATAGAATGTAACATGGACAGTAGCACCCAATACTGTGTTTTAGGATAGCTCTCTTCCTCATTCTACAGATGAATGTGCCAACAGCTTGTATTCTAAGTTTTCTAGACCAAAAGTAGACGTGATTTTATTTAACATGTGTAAAAGTCCCAATTTTCTGTTCCCCAAATGGTATAGCTTACATTTCATATCCTCAGTGGTATTTCCTTTGGGAAGTTTCATTATTGGACTTTCTTTTAAGCATAAATTTAAAAATAAATAAAATTAAATAACAAAAGAAATGCAGGACTGAGTACAAAACTGACATAAAGCTGTGCTGGTATACTCATCATGGATTACTGGTGACTGGTCATCTGATTTATCTTGACTGCAAACTAGCGAGAGGTTACAGTAAATAACCTAAGAGACAGACTAGGGAAGCACTTCTAAAAGCAAATATATTTAGAGTTATACTGAATAAAGAGGGAGGAACCCACAGAATTAAGAGGGTTGTTTTTTTTTAAAGTAGCAACTGAAGCCACTGAGTGGTAGAGTAAACAGCCCTATATTCTTTAGTAATCCCTATGGACACCTTGGTGCCATAAAACCAATTAAGCGCAAATATTCGCCATGAAGGCCTGCATTATCGCACACCAAATGGTGTCCTGTGTTACTATGAACTGCTTTTTACTCACAAAGCCTCTAACATTAAATGTATGGGGGTTTCCCTCACACCAAGCAATTCTGACACTATCCAGAATTCGTGGCAGGCCCCACAGGTTAACAGCTCAGTCCCACAAGACACCAGTTTTGAGTCCAGGCCTCCAGTATTTCTGACCAGCCAGCCATACAACAGTGGGCTCCCATAACCCCTCCTTAGGTTCAATACTTTGCTAGAAGAGCTCACAGAACTCTCAGGAAGGCACTTTACTTACTGATACCAGTTTACTATAAAGGATGCTCTTGGGAAGAGCCAAATGGAAAAGATACATGGGACAACGTATGGGGGCAGGTGCTCAGAGCTTGGGACACACCAGCCTCCAGCACCTTTGTGATCACCAACCCAATTCCTCCAAACTCCATTGTCAGGGGTTTTATGGAGGCTCCAACACGTAGTACTAATAAATCAAATCATTGATCCCTGGTCACTGGAGGTTTGGGGGAAGCTGACAGTTCCACCCATCTAGTTATGTGGTTGGGTTGTCTGTCAACCAGTCCCCAGCCTCCTAAGTCACTCATCAGGGAAAACTCAGGTATGGTTGAAAGGAACTGGTTATAAATAACAAATGATGCTCCTCCCTCCATTGCGCAGATTTCCAAGGGTTTTTAAGATGCAATTGTCCCAAATAGATACTTGCTTACTATATCACAATATCACAGGTGCACTCAAGTTTATTAAGGTGAGGAAGTTATATTTTAGACTTTTTAAAACTTAAAAAGTAGTAAAAATTCTCTTTCATGTCACTGCTTAAAAGATAGGCCTCAGGTTTTTTGAGATTTGGTCTATGTAAAATGTTCTGGAGAGCAGTATATGTCCTTTTGTAAACATCGCTGTTTAATCAAGCCAGTTTCTCAACCAGGTTCAGGGTCTTTGTGCCTTTGTGTTCAGGAAGGTATCTGTGCTTTGAAGGGTCTGTGTGGTGTACAAGAATGCCTTTGTTCACTTTGTAGTGTGAATCTCGCTCCTCACTCAAAACCAGAACCAAGCCCTAGAGCACCTTGAAACTGGTCAGAGAATGGAGTAGCCTGTGCACAAAATTTGACCCAAGTTAAGCCTAGAACTTAAATGTAGAAAAAGGAGACTGAATAGTCAGGTAAAGCACTTAAAATATTTGAGGCCTTTTCACCAAATAAATCCTGGAATAAAGGAACTACATGGAGTATCATCTTTTAGAAGAGATGGTTTTAGGGCTAACAGTAGTGATTGCACCACAAGCCTAAGAACCTTATCCTAAGACATTGTAAATATTAAAAACAGAGAGGTTTAGATAAAATCATGGAGGATGGCTTAAGAATAATTTAAGAGAGGGAAGAAGGCTTCAGACACAGTGGAGTTGTATCACAGGTGCAGGAAACTTATTTGAACACAGTCTCATCGGTGGCAAAGAGAGTGAGCAGGAAGGGTGAGGAGTGTCCCAGGCAGCAGGAGGGAGAGCTGCCACCTGCCGGTCTTCCTGGGGCCTCTCAGCTGCCAGGCCCCTCATAAAATGAGCCAGGACTTGAAACCTGCTTTGGTCAAACAGCTTCCTAAGTAGGTTTTACCAGAATATGCTTTATATTTCTCAGTGAATAGAAGAGTGCTCCATAGAGAGAGAATGGATTCTGGGGAAACCCCCATAAAGGGTAGAAGGAAAGAGGAGGCTGCAGGCATTGTGCTAAGAAGCATTCAGTGATATTTTTTTCCAGAGATCATTAAATCCTATATATGTCTGAAGGTGCTATACCCGTACATCAGTTGACTGTTCTGTAAGTTCTGTGTCTCCATTCTTGGGTCCTGTAAGTAGCCTGGAAGATCCGGAGGCTTTTTTTCCCTCTAAGTTACCATCATTATGTCCAGCAGAGGGCAGACTCCTATCTGAATGGCTGGCTCCTGGCCACCTTCTGTTGGTGACTTTTGATTAACTCTGTGATGGGTTAAGACATGACCTATGACCTGCCTTTCTAAAAGTTTCTATTAGCTTTCTAGATGTGCCGAGATTTCACTCCTTGCTCCTCAGAGAGACTATCTTCAAACTGGAGCAGACAGGACAGGCCCTTCTCTTAAGTCCTCCAGTCCCTGAAGTAGAGGGGACCCAGCTGGACCACATACCCACCCAGCAGGCCCACCTACGCCTGGGCAGTTCACATCTCCTTTTTACTTTCTTCCCATATGACAGAGGTCCCTTTTTATACCTCGGATTCCAACATTTCTGTCTTCTACCATTTGTCCAGTGGCCCCAGAATTCCCGCACACCTTGTCGCCGGAGATGTCCTTTGCTTCGCCTTGCCCCTCCACTCTCCTTAGGCGCATTTCCTCATTTGCTTGAATCTTATATTGATGACTTCTCACAGTTTTCTTATCTCCTGTGACATCTTCGTTTGCTTCACTATTTTTCTCTTTTTAAAATATTTTTCATTTTTTAACCCAAGTGTAACTCCCCGGGGGGAAGCACATTCCCAGACCAGGTCAAATAAACCTATGAAGCCAAAACCAGTCACGGGAAACACCTTTATTTGGAGGGCTGGCTTCGTTCACCTCTCGCTTGCTGGCCACCACTCTTGCTCTCCTGTTTCTCTCGCTTTTCAGCTGGGAGGCCAAAACCCTCTCCTGTCCCAGTGCATACTCACCTCTTCCCCCACCCCTTGTAAACACCTCTTGATAGGTCAGGCAAGAGATTCTGGAAATATTGCAGTTTTACCCACACCAAGTTAATTAGAAAATAGATGTAAGTGAAAGGAAGAAGAAAATGAAAATAAATAGTCTTATTGCCTGTGAGCCATCACTGTAAATACCCTGGTGTGTATCCTTGCTGCTGAGTGTGGACCAGAGGACTGGCAGCACCAGCCTCACCTAGGAGCTTGTGGGGCATGCAGAATTCCAGGTCCCTCTGCTCCTAAACTACTGAGGCATTTAACCAGATCCCTGGATGTGGTTAATGTGCAGATCTGTATGCATATTAAAATTTGAGAAGTACCAGTATTATTTATCTTTCTAGAGGTATATATGTATCTTTTGTGTTTTTATTGTACACAGCAGTTCCCTCCTTTCAGGTGCCTCGACCCTATTCCAACAGAGTGTGTGTGTGTGTGTGTGTGTGTGTGTGTGTGTGTGTGTGTGTGTGTATGTGTAGAGTGTGTGTGTGTGTGTGTGTGTGTGTGTGTATGTGTGAGTGTGGTCTTCCCACGCATAACACCAAGTAAATTCTTGAACACCAACAGGGTGTTGAGAACTCAATTCAATTCAGATGCTATCTTCCCAGAGACAGCACCAGATTCCCCAGGTTAAGGGCTCCCTCCTACAAGATTTCCCTCCACCCCCAACTCCAGATGCTGGTCACAAGCCCCACGCAGTTACCTGTGCTCCTGGCCAATTGGCTACAATTAGAGGTTCCCACCACCTCCCCCCTTAGATTCGATTAATTTGCTAAAGGTGCTCACAGAACTCAGGAAAACACTTCAGTTTACCAGTTTAATAAGGATACTGTGTAGGATACAGGTTAACAGCCGGATGAAGAGAAACATAGAACAAGGTCCCAAATACAGGAGCTCTGTCCTCGTGGAGCTTGGGGCCTGGCTCCGTGGCAAGTGAATGCATTCTGGTTCCCCAAGCGTGTGATGGCTTTTTTGTGAGGGCTTCATTGCAAAGCCTTGACTGACTAAATTATTAGCCATTGACTGATGAACCTCCAGCCAAGGGTC